GTTGATCTCATAGAAGTAAAAAGCAGAACAGAGGTTACTAGAGGATGGAAAGGGTAGGGGCTTGGGCAGACAGGGAGAGATTTGTTAAAGGATACATAATTACAGCTAGATAGATAGGAGGAATAAGTTCTAGTGTTCTATATAGCACTGTAGGATGACTATAGTTAACAATAATTTATATTTTCGAATAGCTAGAAGAGAGAATATTGAATGTTCCCAACACAACAAAATGATAAATGTTTGAGATGATAGATATGCTAACTACCCTAACTGATCACTACACATTGTAAGTATTGAAACATCACTATGTACCCCATAAATATGTACCATTATGTGTCATTAAAAATTAATAAATAAAGGCATCTCTACAAGCTGTTGTTGCCATCCAGACAGAGGAGAAAATATTGTTGCTGGCCCAAAGAAGAGATTATAGTAGTATTAGACTATGGTGATGTATTAGTCAGGGTTCTCCAGACAGATAGAACCATTAGGATGTATATATTTGTAGAGAGATTTACTATGGGAATTAGTTTGTGTCATTATGGAGGCTTAAGTCCCAAAATCTGCAGTCAGCAAGCTGGAGTCCTAGGGTAGCGAATGGTACAGTTCCACTGAAAGGCCTGCATGCTTGAGACCCAGGAAGAGCTGATGTTTCCGTTCAAGCCTGAAGGCAGGGAAACAAACAAACAAAACCCAACAAAACAAAACAAAACAAAACCAAAAAAACCCCAAGGTAGTCGGGAAGGAGTTCCCTCTTACTCAGCCTTTTTGTTCCATTCAGGCTTTCAGTTGACAGAATGAGGCTCCCCCTTGTTAGGAGGGCCATCTGTTTCACTAAGTCTACCAATTCAAATGTTAATCTCATCCGGAAACACCCTCCCCCACACACCCAGAATGTTTGACCAAATATCTGGGCACCCTATGGCCCAGTCATTGACACATAATATTAACCAGTTTATATAGCTACCCTTTATTGAGTGTCTACTATGTGCCAGGCACTTCCCCGAATATTTTCTATATGTACTATTCTGTAAGGCAGATTTTACCCATGTTTTTAAACTGAGAAATCAGAGTCTGAAAAATTTCAGTTGCTTGTCCTGACTCACTCAACTAGTAACTAACAACAGACTTTGGTTTTTAGTCTGACACGAAGCATGTTTTTTTCAGCAATGACAAGAACCAAAATAGAAGGGTTTTGCATAAGGAGGCAATGTGTTTGCAAATCCATCCTTTCATCCAGAGCATAGAGTAGGCTGTGTTCCACCTTCCTGGGAGGACTCCAGACTGCCAACATGTAGCTCAGATTCACATGCATCTCTTTAGCTAGTAGAAACTATAAATGCTGTAGCACAAAGATTATTTGAGGCCAGGCACAGTGTCTCAAGCCTATAATCCCAGTACTTTGGGAGGCCAAGGTGGGAGAAGCACTTGAAGCCTGGAGTTCGAGACCAGCCTGGGCAACATAGTGAGACCCCTCTCTACAAAAAATTCTTAAAAAATAGCTGGGTATGGTGGCATGTGCCTGTAGTCCTAGCTACTTGGGAGGCTGAGGCAACAGGATCTGAGCCTAGGAGTTTGAGGCCACAATGAGCAATGATTGTGTCACTGCACAATCCACCAGCCTGGGTGAAGAGAAAGACCCTAAAAAATATATATATTATTTGATGTTGTGTGATAAAATGCAGTGTCCCATATCCAGAGATTCTGATTCAATGTCTGGAGTAAGCCCAGGAATCTACTCCAGGTGATTCTGGTTTAGATGAGAAATGCTACTCAATCACACTGGATTGTGGTTTCTATAGGGGCCTGAACAGAGTGGGTCATATGGTTTCCTGAGGTCTACCTGGGATGTGCATCATTCAGTTTCTCAAAGAATGGGCTGCTGACTTGAAGATGGCATTTCTATACCTGAAGTTTATCCTCCAGTCCCAGGATAGGATTGAGGCTCCCTGGATGGGAAATTGCACTGTATGATGGGCCTTGCATTCTTACCACAAGATTTCATATGTATGAAAAGTATTTCGCGAAGTCCTAAGTATACCAGTCATGCCAATTATGATGATCAACTTCCACAGCCCCCTACTCAGCACTGGGCTGCTTTTTATGCAGGGTGAAATTGCTGGACTGGTGTGGGTGTTGACTCATAGTCTGGTCAAGGACTAGAGGTGGTCTGGCACAAAAGGTTCTGTCTAGCAAGGACAATAGTAATTGACTAAACAATCAGATAGGTTCCACCCAGAATGTGGGGTGGTAGACCTGAGTCCATTAATCCATAGGTAGTAAGAGATCAAAACTGCTAAGCAGAGAAAAGTACACATGCCATCAGGGAAACTATGGGGAACAGAAGGGTAGAGGAGAGATAGGGTAAGCAGTCAAACCTCAGACTGCCTTGTTCCAAATAGCTTTCCAGTCCTTGCCTACTCATACTCCTACAATACCAACCCTCGTTCTTAAAGGTGTTCAACTCATGTTCTTTGCAACCAAGAGCCTAACTTGACACATCAAGATGCTTGTTTCACCACTGTGAAGGTCTGAAGGACCTTCTTTGTGATTTCTTCTAGCATTCAAGAGACACTCCCTTTGCCCAGGCTGTTACCTTGTTGAGGGGATGGAGGGGCAGAAAGTTCCTTAAGGTGTTGCAAATGAAGCCCAGCCTTTCCTGGGTCACAACCCTGGCAGTGAGCTATGCTCTCAGTGAGGTTTTCCCTACTCCCTGTCCAGTGTCTGAGTGGGCACTTTCTTAGATCCCCTGCAGCAATGTCGCCCATGAGTTCCCAGAGGAAAATGACCTTCATTTTCTCTGAATTCCCTAACATGAGCACAGTGCCCAGAGAGGAGTAAGTGCTCAATTCATACCAACTGCAAAACAACAAAGCACTTTCACATAGTCTCCCACTGATTCTCAAAGCTATTTTTGGAGTGTTTTGTGATAACCCCAGTTCTCTCGCTTCCTAAGCAAAAATCTCTTAAATCATTTTCTCCCACCCCAACAGCTGATGTAGTTCAGATCATAACATTTCTAACCTCCCAACTGATCTTCCTGCCTAGGTTTCATTCCCAGTCTACCTTCCACACCACTACCAAAGTTAACCTTCCCAAATGTAACTCTGGTTGTGACACACACCAATTAAGTCTAGTGCACACAAGACAAAGGCCCAAACTCTTTTGGTTTCCAAAGCCCTCCATGATCTGGCCTCAGCCTGCTCCTCCAGTCTCATCTCCATCATTGTATTCCATTCATATCAATTCTCGCAGTTTCTTCAAAACACTGCTCTTCCCCCATCCCCATGTTTGATATGCCATTTGTTTATCTTTCTCGATCCACTGTTAGCTTCTCCCCGGCCAGCTATATGTGTAATACATACATAATAAAACTAGTTCATACATATAAGAGTATGTATAATAAATTTATGGTTTAAAGAATAATAAAAGAGCAATCATACTTGCAGTTAGAAAACCAGACTACCAAATGCCCTGTAAAGTAGTGTTGTTTTAGGCCTCTGAGCCTCTGCACATGCTAGAATGCCCTCCCAGGCCTTGGTTTGCATAGTGAAGTCATCCTTTGGAACCTCAGATTCAGTTTCCCTCCTCTGGGAAGCCTCCACTGTCACCCCTGAGGGATACTTAATGCTTCCATTATCCCTCCATTATGGCATTAATAACTGTATTATATTTGGTTACATGTTTGTTTCCCCAGTAGATTGAAGTTGCCAAGTATTATTTAATCTCTGAAGCTCTAGCAACCAGCATAAAAGCTGGTCATACAGCAAGTGCTCCACAAATACCATATTCATACAACTTAGTTTGCCTGGAGAGTCCTGATTTATTTCTGTTGTCCTGGAATAATTATTGTAATGCTTTCTTTTACTATCAGAAGTGTCCTAATTTAGATTACCAATTATATGAACACTCAATAAATGTTGCTGAATGAATAAATGAATTAATGAAGAAAGATTTTAATGGATAGAATCTAGCCAGGAAAAACCAATATGTAAAGATTCTCAAATACAAATTCCACAGCTGGCCACTACACCTCCTCCTCTGGAAGTGCTTGACTCTTCTGGAGACAGAAAAGATGAGTTTGTACAGACCAGATACTCAATAACCTTTACTGCACAAATAACTTGAAAAATGTTAGCATATTCCTTCTTCAAGAAAACTTAGGTGTAAATTTATAGTACAGATAGCTGATAGAGAAATTTATAAAGCTGACTTCTTATTGAAAATCAGAAATGTAGATCAAATACTCCTAAGATAACAGTCAATAGGAACATGTTATTTTAAAAATTCAATATATGGCCAGGCATGGTGGCTCATGCCTGTAATCCTAGCACTCTGGGAGGCTGAGGTGAGTGGATCGCTCAAGGTCAGGAGTTTGAAACCAGTCTGATCAGTCGACATTTTTTCAGGAAAAAAAAAAAAAAAAAGAAACCAGCCTGAGCAAGGGCAAGACCCCGTCTCTACTAAAAATAGAAAGAAATTAATTGGCCAACTAAAAATATATAGAAAAAATTAGCCAGGTATGGTGGCGCATGCCTGTAGTCCCAGCTACTTGGGAGGCTGAGGCAGGAGGATTGCTTGAGCCCAGGAGTTTGAGGTTGCTGTGAGCTAGGCTGATGCCACAGCACTCTAGCCCGGGCAACAGAGTGAGACTCTGTCTCAAAATAAATAAATAAATAAAATAAAACAAAATAAAATAAAAATTCAATATACGTACCATTTTGTCAAAAAAAAAAAACCTCTTTTCAGTGTATATATATACATATATATACACATACATACATACCAGTTAGTTGTCCTTGCTCTTAGGCAAAGATATAATCTCCTTCAATTTGGTATTATAAATACAAATTTTATTTTTTAAACTTCTTTTGTTATTCAAGTAGAAAAAGGTGTTTTTAATCACTGTTACACAAAAGACAGAAAGATAGGCAATCCATCTTTTAGACAATAATCTTCTCTTCCTCCAACAGTGTCATCTTCTTTGACAGTCCAGGTAATTCCTTGTAAATAAGGCTTTTAATAAATTACAAATATGTAATAGGTCCATCTTCTTCCTAACTACTTAATGCACTGTTGCACAGCAACAAATTTTTTTTCCTGCTTCTTTTTTGATGGAAGTCTGAGAGTCTGAAATCTGCATTGGCTTGGCTGAGCTTGGGAATTTTTTTGGTACCAGGGGTGCAAATATCCATTGTAGAAATCAGTAGCTGTTAGTGTTTTCTTAAGCATCACTGATCGAACACCAATCCAGCCATCCTTAAGGGCAAAAGACAAATAGTGAACAGGAAGTGATGGCAAAACTGAAAAACGAAGTAAATTTTAGTTTATAAAAATTTTTACATGGAAACAAATAAATAAACCAATAAACCTTCACTAAATGCCTAACTGTAAATAACACTGTATTAAGTAACATATACAATTCCTTGACTCCAAAAGTTCATTACCAAGGAGAGATAACAATGCACAGACCTGTATAATCCTATTTAAACATAAAGGGAGCAGAGTAAAAAAGTATGTTAGATTTGCTTTACAGTTTTCAGAGTATGTCCATATATCTTACTGTGACTGGTCATTAAAACATAACAGATCTAAAAGGCAGGCAGATCCAATATCATGCCCAGTTTAGTTTAGTTTCCAGGCGGGACTTAAACTCCTGGGCTCCTCTTGCCTCAGCCTGCTGAGAGGACTACAGGTGGGTGACATCGCACCCAGCTATCATCCTCAGCTTAGAAGAGGAAACTGATGCCCACAGAAGGTGGGTTATTTTGTCCGAGGGAACACAACTGATAAGACTCAAATTCACATGTTCCGACAATCCCAGCTTCTTTCTAAGAGAGCAAGCTGCAGACATGCAATCCATGTACAACCAGACCCAGACAAGGACGGCAAGACATATGGACCCAACACTGTTCCAGAATAAACTGGCGAGAGATGAAGAAAGGATGATGAAGGAAAATCCTGTATTTACAGTCTGTGTAGGTCAGATCAATCTATCACACATTTTAAACAATGCTTCTAGAGCATGAAGCATCTCACCTAAACACCACATGACAGAAAATACCCAGGCAATGGAAGGAAAGTAGAACACTTCTCAGAACACACCATGGTCTTATAAAACAATACTAGTTCCAAAGTCATTTTAAATAGTTCAGAAATCTCTTAAATACTGTTGAGCAGTAAAAGAAAGTAGGATACATGCCCTGCAGGAGTTCAGCCAGATACTTCAATATGACTATTTTTATGTCACCAAGCACAGGAGCTTGTTAATTAAATCAGATTACTGAAAATACGTTTAAGTTTTCTTTTAAGAAAGCGCTCGAGTTACTGAATCTTCTTTCACTGATTAATAGTAATGCCTTGGAAAAACTTCATCACTTTAAAAAATTACACTAAAGATTACACTATTTCTTCAGAAAATTAAACTGCCTATTGGCCCAATCTGATGGACAGGAAGTTAAGTGAAGTAAACTAAAAACAATAAATTATAAACTCAGTAAAACAAGTATGATAATTTGAAACTAAAGGAAAATGTACCTTGCAATAAACCAGCAGGATCTGTGACTGCTTGTGGTATATTACTGATCCTGGAATAACAGCATGTCTTGTTAACATTGGATCTGAAGAATGGAGGAAAAAAAAAAGATATGAGAGAGAAATAAATTATAAATCTTTATGGTACTTCTCAAAAACCCCAAAAGCAGTACTAATACTGGGAGGCAGGCCGGGCACGGTGGCTCACGCCTGTAATCCTAGCACTCTGGGAGGCTGAGGCGGGTGGATTGCTCGAGGTCAGGAGTTCAAAACCAGCCTGAGCAAGAGCAAGAACCTGTCTCTACTATAAATAGAAAGTAATTAATTGGCCAACTAATATACATAGAAAAAATTAGCCGGGCATGGTGGTGCATGCCCGTAGTCCCAGCTACTAGGGAGGCTGAGGCAGCAGGATTGCTTGAGCCCAGGAGTTTGAGGTTGCTGTGAGCTAGTCTGATGCCACAGCACTCAATTTGGCCTAGGCAACAAAGTGAGACCCTGTCCCAAAAAAAAAAAAAAAATACTGGGAGGCAGTACTAATATTGGAGAGGACACATCTTGCTGATGCCCTGACTTTGTAATCCAAAACTTATGATGAAGCCATAGTGCTCTGTGTACATCACCAACCCAAAGGAAAGCTTTCCACATACGTAAGAAGCTACAATTCCTTTATCTAGTCTTCCAGTGATCACCTAAAATGCGGAATCTAGACATTTTGTGTTATTCTTTTGTGGAAGTAACTACTAACCAGTGGAGAGATACACAGGATGCTTAGGATTTAAGCGGGCCCTTTCATCCCTGCCCAAACAAATCCTAATTTCTAGGTTCCTAGGAAACTCCAGCTACCTCTAGACTAGGTCAGCTCCCTCTGGGGTCACATTCCTTCTGTCTACCACATTGGGAAGTCACTGATGAGCCTCAGAGTGGACCTGTGGCATGAGCCTCAGAGTGGACCTGTGGCATGAAATGCTATCAGCTGGCCTAGATTCTCACTGAGCTCTCGGATATTTCCATTATGATATTCACCAGAATAAAATTAACCAAGTCATTTTATACTCCCCAAAAATCTTAAAGTAGGACATCACAGAGCTTAAAATGGGATAGGAACACTGCTCTGCCTACTTCCCAGGTTCTTGTAATGATTAAATGAGAAAATACATGTGAATGGACACTGCAAAGAGTAAGTCAATAAGTGAAAGTAAAGTATTATCATTATTGAGCTGAAACAATCTCAAAGAATCCTTATTTTTAGTAAATGGGACCTATGGTAAAACAGACACATTTTCAAATAGACTATAGTGAAAGAAAACATCTTCCAAGTCAGTATTCAAAAGTTCGTACCAGCAAGGACTGGGCTGTTAACTTCAACCAAATCCAGAAGTTTAATGGTATTCTCCATCCAGAGCGTCTGCAATGGAATCTGCAAATAACATTAAAGAAGGCATGATAAAGGAACATGTCCAACCCAGAAACCCTTTTCAACTACAATTTTGTGTTAATCTGGTCAGATTTTTCTCCTAATTAGAGGAATTGGGAACTCAGTCACTAAATTTTATGGAACAGAACATAAACATGACCCTTTATATCAGTCTTTCCAGGATTTATAACATCTTAAACATTAGAGCATTTGTTTTAAAAAAATTTTAGAAAGTGATAGTATTTTGCATTCCCATCCCAGAGGTAACCACTGTCAATAGTTTTATGTATTTCCCTGTATTTTTTTCTACAAATATTATTATAAAAATCTAGAACATATTGTTTTACAAGGAACTTTTGTTACTTAACCATAAGCCAGGGACAACTTTTTATCAGTACACACCTACTTCACTCTGTATCTGCTGCACAGCATCAAAAATATAATAATTTATGCAACTAATATCTTTATGATGGATATTCCAGTTATTTTCAATTTCTTGCTATTATATCATTATAAAATATGGTAATAAACAGCTTTGTTGATATATCTTTGAGCACTTATATATTTCTGGAAAGTAGTTTTGGGTTTTTTTTAAGTGGAATGCCTGAGATAAACAGCATCATTTTATTATTAACCTGCCTTGATTAGTGAGAAAAAATGATAATTTACTGCTGTTTTTGTTTTGTTTTGTTTTGAAGACAGAGTCTCACTCTGTTGCCTGGGTTAGAGTGCCATGGTGTCAGCCTAGCTCTCAGCAACTTCAAACTCCTGGGCAAGTGATCTTCCTGTCTCAGCTTCCTGAGTAGCTGGTATTTACAGGCGCTCACCACTATGCCTAGCTAATTTTTTTCTATTTTTAGTAGAGACAGGTCTAACTCTTGCTCAGACTGATCTTGAACTTCTGAGCTCAAGCAATCCTGCCGCCTTGGCCTCCTAGAGTGCTAGGATTACAGGTGTGAGCCACTGCCTATTGCTGTTTATTATTAGCAAGGCTGAGGAGCTTTCCATGTATTTACTTGGAAATACATGTATTTACTTCCATGTATTTATTTTTCTGTCAACTGCCTATTTCTGCCCTTTGCCCATATTTTTAAAAACTGGGATGTTCATCTTATTAATTTGCAAATTTTTTTTCCTATATTTAGGAAATCAGCCTTTTAACTCTTGTGTTATGAATATTCTCTCCACTATGTTGACTTTTAATCTTGGGGACAGTCATTTTTTTCATGCATATTTAATTTTTATAGAGTTAATATTTATCAGTTTTTTTTCTCATGACTTCAGTGGTTTATTATTTATATATATATTTTTTTGAGACAGAGTCTTGCTTTGTTGCCCAGGCTAGAGTGAGTGCCGTGGCATCAGCCTAGCTCACAGAAACCTCAAACTCCTGGGTTCAAGCAATCCTCCTGCCTCAGCCTGCCAAGTAGCTGGGACTACAGGCATGCACCACCATGCCCGGATAATTTTTTTCTACATATATTAGTTGGCCAATTAATTTCTTTCTATTTATAGTAGAGACAGGATCTCCCTCTTGCTCAGGCTGGTTTCGAACTCCTGAGTACCTCACAGCAACCTCAAACTCCTGGGCTCAAGCATCCTTCTGTCTCAGCCTCCCAAATAGCTGGGACTACAGGCATATGTCACCGATGCCTGGCTAATTTTTTCTATAGATTTTTAGTTGTCTAGCTATTTCTTTCTATTTGGTAAAGACAGGGTCTCACTCTTGCTCAGGCTGGTCTTAACTCCTGACCTTGAGCAATACTCCCACCACGGCTCCCAGATGCTAGTATTACGCATGAGCCACGACGCCCGGCCCAATTTCTCTATTTTTAGTTTGGTTGCTTATGCTTTATGAAATCATATCTATGAACAACTGCCTAATTCAATGTCATGAATATTTACACCTATGTTTCTTCTGAGAGTTTATTTAGCTCTTAGTCTCTGATCCATTTTAAGTTAATTTTGTATAATAATGTAAGGTAAGGGTCCAAATTCATTCTTTTGATTGTGGACATCCAGTTGGATATGCCAGCCCCATTTGCTGAAAAGACTATTCTTTCTCCATTGAATTGTCTTGACTCTCTTGTCAAAGAATTAATTGACCATATATGCATGAGTTTATTTTTAGACTCTTAATTATACTGTACTGTGATACAGCTAGTACTACACTATTTTGATTACTGTAGCTTTGCACTAAGTTTTGAAATTGGAATGTGAGCGTCTTCCAATTTTGTAATTTTTCAAGTTTGTTTTGGCTTTTCTGGGCCCCTTGCAATTCTATATGAATTTTAGGGGCAGCTTGTCAATTTCTGCAAAGCCAACTAGGATTTTTATAGGAATTGTGTTGAATCTGTAGATCAGTTGGGGAGTAGAGACATCTTAACAATAGTAAATTCATCTAATCAATGAACACAATGGAGGTCTTTCCATTTACTTGGGTATTCTTTTACTGTTTATTAGCTCTGACAGTTCTTTGGGGACTTTTTTTATATAAGATCATGTCATCTGCAGATAGAGGATGGTTTTACTTCTTCCTTTCAGATTAGTTTCTTCTGTTTTTCTTTTTCTTGCCTAAGTGCCTAGGCAGAACAAAGTTAAATAGAAGTGATGAGAGCAGACATCTTTGTCTTGTTCTGATCTTAGAGGGAAAGCTTTCCAGTCTTTCATTAAATAGGATGTTAGCTGTAGGTTTTTCATAGATGCTTTTAACAGGATGAGGAAGTGTCCTTCTATTCTAGTTTACTAAGGCTTTCTTAAATGTGTTGAATTTTATAAAATGCATTTTTTTACAATTATTGAGACAATGATGTGCTTTTGTCTTTTATTCTATTAATATGTATATTACATTGAATGATTTCCGATGTGAACAACCCTGCATTCCTGGGAATAAATCCCATTTGGTCATGGGTTAATAATCCATTTTTATATGTTGTTAAATTCACTTTGCTAATTTGTTGAGGACTTTTACATCTAGTATTCATAGGGGATATTAATCATATAGAATATCTATTTATATTTCTTTTCAAATTTATGAATTAAATACATTTATTTGCAAACTATAGCTCATTCTTCCATTTCACAGATGGAGAAAGTAAGGCTCAGAACAATGCAGCTATTTTCCCAAGGCTGGACACAGCTAGTTAGTGGTAGGGCCAGGGTCAGATTCTGTTTTCTGATTCTCAGCTCAGTACTCTTTTTATGTTATCCTTTAAAGAGGAAATTTAACTTTCAGAAGAGTTAGGCTGTTGTAATAATTTGAACATTAAATCAAAGAATTAAATAAATTTGAAGTTATAGGTACTCATAACCTTATATATGTCGTATTTTGGGACAATAGCCTCTTTCATATCTTGCAGGCTCATTTTTATTTCACCTGCTGTCTTAAGTTATGAAACAATTTTCATGTGTGTAATTTTTTTCTTTCAAAGAATTCAAAATATTTTTGAAACATGCTACTGACTAAAAGAGATTCATATTTACTGAGAGTAATAAACATGCGGGGTATATGCTCAGAATATACAATTCTTGTTCTTAGGGAGGAAAACTCACCTATCATAGCATTACAGAACGGAAAGAGATGGTAAGAATATAATCATTTCAGTGTCAACTATCATTACTGTTAAAATCATATGTTTGCATAGATTTAGATTCATATAGTTTATTTCCTTTGATCTTGACAGTTGTGTACATGGTCATTAACCCCATTTTAGAGGTAAAAAAGCAGAAGCTCAGAGAAGGTAAGGGCCTTGCTTTCGTTTAGTAAAGGACAGCTCTAGGAATCGAACCTCACCTTCTGGCTCCAAGATAAGTATTTGGTCTTTTATAGCACAAAGCTTTTCTCCATAGAGGAAAGGTTCGAATTGCAGAAGGTAAGGATCATTGCGTAGGAAGTCAGAGATGCTAAGAGATTTCAATCTACTGGCCTAAAATGCATCTCAGGAATTTGTCTACTTGGTATCTCCGTATGGATATCTTCTAAGTATCTCAAACTTAACATGGCCAAAACAGAACTATTTATTTCTCTCCCCGAATTTGTTCCTCCCTAGATATCCTCATCTCAATTAAATGGTACCACTATTGACCCAGTTACTCAAGCCAAAAATGTATGAATGATCCTAATTTCTCTTTCCTTAGTTGCCCATATTCCATCAGCAAATCCCGTTGACTCCTCCTCCAAAGTACCGCTTGGATGTCTACTTCTATTTGTTTTTTAGAGACAAGATCTTGCCATGTTGCCCAGGCTAGCCTTGAACTCCTGAACTCAAGTGATCCTCCCACCTCAGCCTCCTGAGTAGCTGGGACTACAGGCTTGTGCTACCATGTCCCATGTGGATGGCCACTTCTTTCCATTCGCTATTATCATTGCCCAAATTGCCATCATCTATCACCTGGGCTACAGTTCCAGCTTCTTGACTGACCGCCAGTCCATTCTCCACCAGCAGCCAGAGTGACCTTTTAAGAACATATACACCTAATCCCATTACTTCCCGCTCAAGCCCTCCAATGACTTCCCACTACACATCAATCCTATTCAATCTTGCCTCTGACCTCATCTTATGCTACTCTCCACCTTGCTGGCTATGCTCCAGCCACAGCATCCTCATTTCTGTCCCTCAAACATGTCCAGCTCTTTTCTACCTTGGGTCTTTTGTTTTTGATGGTTTTATTAAGATACAATTCACATAATAAAATTCACCCTTTTACAGTGTACAATTCAGTGGTTCTTAGTAGATTCACAGAGTTGTTCAACAAATACCAATATCCTATTGTATGGATATATCACATTTTATTTATCCATTATCAGTTGATGGACATTTGGGTCGTTCTACTCTTTGGCTGTTCTCAATAACGCTGATATGAACACGTGGGTACAAATTTTTGTGTGAACATGTTTTTCAATTCTCTTGAGTATAAACCTAGGAGTGGAAATGCTGAGCCATATGGTAACTCTGTTTAACTTTGTGAGGAGCTGCCAAACTGTATTCCACAGTGGTTGTACCATTTTACATTCTTATCAGCAATATATGAGGGTTTCAAATTTCTCCACATCCTTGTCAATACTATTTTTTTTTTAAATTATAGCCATTCTAGCAAACGTAAAGTGGTGTCTCATTATGGTTCTGATTTGCATATCCCTAAACACTAATGAAGTTAATCATCTTTTCATGTGCTTATTGGCCACTTGTAGATATTCTTGGGAGAAATGTCTACTCATATTCTTTGGCCATTTTCCAATTGGGTTATTTGTCTTTTTACCATAGAGATGTAAAAGTTCTTTATATATACACATGCATATGTCCATTCAAAAAAAAAAAAGTTCTTTATATATTCTGGGTACTATACCCTTATCAATATATCATTTGCAAATGTTTTCTCCCATTTTTTTTACTTTCTTGATAATGTCCCTTGAAGTACCAGTTTTTAATTTTGATGAAGTCCAATTTCTGTTGTTGTTGCTGTTTTTGAGATAGAGTCTCACTCTGTTGCCTGGGCTAGAACGCCGGGGCATCAGCCTACCTCACAGCAACCTCAAACTCCTGGGCTCAAGCAATACTTCTGTCTCAGCCTCCCAAATAGCTGGGACTACAGGCATATGTCACCATGCCTGGCTAATTTTTTCTATATATTTTTAGTTGTCTAGCTAATTTCTTTCTATTTTGGTAAACACAGGGTCTCACTCTTGCTCAGGCTGGTCTTGAACTCCTGACCTTGAGCAATACTCCCACCACGGCCTCCCAGAGTGCTAGTATTACAGGCATGAGCCACGACGCCCGGCCCAATTTCTCTATTTTTAGTTTGGTTGCTTATGCTTTATGAAATCATATCTATGAAACCACTGCCTAATTCAATGTCATGAATATTTACACCTATGTTTTCTTCTGAGAGTTTTATTTAGCTCTTAGTCTCTGATCCATTTTAAGTTAATTTTGTATATAATGTAAGGTAAGGGTCCAAATTCATTCTTTTGATTGTGGACATCCAGTTGGATATGCCAGCCCCATTTGTTGAAAAGACTATTCTTTCTCCATTGAATTGTCTTGACTCTCTTGTCAAAGAATTAATTGACCATATATGCATGAGTTTATTTTTAGACTCTTAATTATACTGTACTGTGATACAGCTAGTACTACACTATTTTGATTACTGTAGCTTTGCACTAAGTTTTGAAATTGGAATGTGTGTGTCTTCCAATTTTGTAATTTTTCAAGTTTGTTTTGGCTTTTCTGGGCCCCTTGCAATTCTATATGAATTTTAGGGGCAGCTTGTCAATTTCTGCAAAGCCAACTAGGATTTTTATAGGAATTGTGTTGAATCTGTAAGATCAGTTTGGGGAGTAGAGACATTTAACAATAGTAAATTCATCTAATCAATGAACACAAATGGAGGTCTTTCCATTTACTTGGGTATTCTTTTACTGTTTATTAGCTCTGACAGTTCTTTGGGGACTTTTTTATATAAGATCATGTCATCTGCAGATAGAGATGGTTTTACTTCTTCCTTTCAGATTAGGTTGTCTTCTGTTTCTTTTTTCTTGCCTAAGTGCCTAGGCAGAACAAAGTTAAATAGAAGTGATGAGAGCAGACATCTTTGTCTTGTTCCTGATCTTAGAGGGAAAGCTTTCAGTCTTTCATTAAATAGGATGTTAGCTGTAGGTTTTTCATAGATGCTCTTTAACAGGATGAGGAAGTGTCCTTCTATTCCTAGTTTACTAAGGCTTTCTTAATGTGTTGAATTTTATAAAATGCATTTTTTTACAATTATTGAGACAATGATGTGGCTTTTGTCTTTTATTCTATTAATATGTATATTACATTGAATGATTTTCCGATGTTGAACCAACCTGCATTCCTGGGATAAATCCCATTTGGTCATGGTGTAATCCATTTTATATGTTGTTAATTCACTTTGCTAATTCTGTGAGGACTTTTACATCTATATTCATAGGGGATATTAATCTATGCTTTCTTTTCTTTTCTTTCTTTTTTAACAGAGTCTTGCTTTGTTGCCCAGGCTAGAGTAGTGCCGTGGCATCAGCCTAGCTCACAGAACGTCAAACTCCTGGGCTCAAGCGATCCTCTGCCTCAGCCTCCTGAGTAGCTGGGACTACAGGCATGCACCACCATGCCCGGCTAAGTTTTTCTATTATTAGTTGGCCAATTAATTTCTTTCTATTTATAGTAGAGATGGGTCTCGCTCTTGCTCAGGCTGGTTTCGAACTCCTGACCTCAAATCTGCCCGCCTGCCTCCCAGAGTGCTAGGATTACAGGTGTGAGCCACCGCACCCTGCCTATAGCTTTCTTTCTTGTCTGGTTAGTCCACCTTGGGTTTTTACTAGCTGGTCCTCTGCCTGAAATGGTCTTTCGTTGACTTGGCATGGCTGGTTCCGTCTTCAGACTCAGTTTATTTTTTTATTATTTTTTATTTTTGAGACAGAGTCTCGTTTTGTCGCCAGGCTAGAGTGAGTACCGTGGCATCAGCCTCGCTCATAGCAACCTCAATTCCTGGGCTCACAAATCTGCTGCCTCAGCTTCCTAAGTAGCTGGGACTATAGGCATGCGCCACCAGGCCAGCTATAATTTTTTCTATATGTATTGTTGCCCAATTAATTTCTTTCTATTTATAGTAGAGACGGGGTCTCACTCTTGCTCAGGCTGGTTTCGAACTCCTGACCTCAGCAATCGCCCACCTCGGCTTCAGAGATGCTAGGATTACAGGCGTGAGCTACCGTGCCCGGCCTAGACCTCAGTTTAAATGTCAGTTCAGAGAGGCCTTCCCCATCACACAACCTAAAGTAACCTCCAGTTATTCCATCACATGATCCTATTTTAGTTTTTATCATGGAATTTATCACACTATTTGGTATTTTTCTTACTGATTTGCTTATTTGTTGTCTGTCCTTCCACACCACCTGTATCTCTAGTACCTAGCACACCACTTGACACATAACAGGCCTTCAATAAATATTTTGTTTAATGAATGAATGAATAATAGCAGCTGTCATTTAATGAGTACCTATTCTGTACCAGATACGGTAAAATAAAAAAGCTTTATATATATTAGCCCTAATTTTCTGATGAACAAACTAAAGCTCAGAGGTGAAATAACTTTCCCAAATCTACAAAGTTAGGAAGTAGCAGAAACAAGATGGAACCAGCTCTATCTGGCTCTAAAGTCCATGTTCCCAGATGCCATTCTGTTGCAGCACAAAAAGTATAGGATTTGTATAGAAGTTAGACCGATTTTATTCAAAATCTGACTCTCTCATTAACTAGCAATATGACCTTGATCAACATTAAATAATTCACTATCTATTTTAAGCCTCTCTTCAACTTTAAAATGGGATGCTATAGATATCTAGTTGTAGTTCCCCATTTTACTCATCATTAATAACAGAGGTGGTCCATTAAAAACTACACATTTGGTAGGCCCAGAGTTCAAATAACAGAAGTGGCTATCAAAATGAAGGAAAAAATCCCACAAATTTGTCCAGGAACTGAGAATTTAACTCAGATATTTTAATAAGCTATTATTATATTACAACTTCATTTTGTGTACCATATGTAGAAATCAATGATTTAAGAATCTGAAATTATAAAAATTTGACCAGAGACAGAAAGATATGCTGGAAAAAGCACTGGATTAGGAGTTAGAAGATTTAGGTTCATTATTTAGTGACTGGGTACCCGTAAGTTAGTCATCTCATTTTCATTCCCCTCACCTATGAACTGAGATAATAAAACTTGGTTATGGGAAACTACAAAACACATATATTTGAAAGTGCTTTGTGAATTCTAAGGCCTCTATAAAAACTTAAAGTTTAAAGAATATTTTAAAAATAAATTTCAGGTTTCCTAGGTTTAGTTTGAGATCCCTTCCTAAATAAAAATATTCAGAAAGCAAATTACACACAAAAATACCAATTAGGTAAAACTGCAACCTAACTTCCCAACTTACTATATCTCCAATGGCACGATAAAGTCTGAATATTTGCTCTGAAGTTTGTTCCTCCCATTTTATACAGCTGGTAGCAGCAGAAATCTTAGGAGCTACAAGATAAAGCCAAGAGCAAAAATGAATGTCAGGTTTACTGTCCATGAATTGATAACTATTAATGCTGAATAACAGATACAAAAGAATTCATTATAATTGTCTCTCAACTTTTCTTTTTTTTTTTTTTTTTTGAGACAGAGTCTCGCTTTGTTGCCCAGGCTAGAGTGAGTGCCGTGGCGTCAGCCTAGCTCACAGCAACCTCAAACTCCTGGGCTCGAGTGATCCTTCTGCCTCAGCCTCCCGGGTAGCTGGGACTACAGGCATGCGCCACCATGCCCGGCTAATTTTTTTTATATATATATCAGTTGGCCAATTAATTTCTTTCTATTTATAGTAGAGACGGGGTCTCGCTCTTGCTCAGGCTGGTTTTCGAACTCCTGACCTTGAGCAATCCGCCCGCCTCGGCCTCCCAAGAGCTAGGATTACAGGCGTGAGCCACAGCGCCCGGCCTCAACTTTTCTATATGTTCATAAATACTAAAAGCAAACATGAGTGAGCTTCTTTATAACCTGGGAGTAGAAAATGCCCTTCTAACTATGACTCAAAGTCCAGAAGCAATTAAAGATGAATAAAGGAGACACTACAAAAAAATAAACTTTTCTTTTTTTTAGAGACAAGGTTTTGCTGTTTCCTGGTTGGAGTGCAATGGTGCAATCATAGCTCACTGCAGTCTCAAACTCCTGGGCTCAACTGATCCTCCTGCCTCAGCCTCCTGAGTAGCTGGGACCATAGGTGCACACCACCATGCCTGGCTAATTTTTTTTTTTTTTAGAAACAGAGTCTCTTTATGTCACCCAGGTTAGTCTTGAACTCCTGGCCTCAAGCAATCCTCCCACCTCAGCCTCCCAAAGTGCTGGGATTATAGGCATGAGCCATTGCCTGGCCAAAAATAAACATTTTTTATATGCCATTAAGTTAAATCAAAAAACAAATAACAAACTGAAAGAATTTGCAATTAATATCTTAAAGGACTAATTTCTCTATTATATAAAGTACTTCTAAAATCTAAGAAGAAAAAGAACTGATTAAAAAATGTGCAAAAGATATGACATTTCCCAGAAAAAGAAATACAAATACCGTGTTTCCGCAAAAATAAGACAGGGTCTTATATTTATTTTTCCTCAAGAAGACACCCTAGGGCTTATTTTCAGGGGATGTGTTATTTTCCCCTCAAAGCCTCAGGATGGACGGGACCTGACAGGGGGAGCCAATCTTGTTGGTGGGGCTGCCCGCACCTTTCCAGTCACCTCTGGGATAGTAGCTGTCACGATGGGGCAGATGAGAAGGGCTGCTAGTCTTCTTTGCCGCTCCATGATGAAATGCATGGGTTGTGCAGATACACTGCATAGCTACGCCCATCACTAGGTCTTATTTTCGGGGTAGGGCTTATATTGTGCAAATGGTTAGAAATCCTGCTAGGGCTTATTTTATGGGTAGGTCTTATTTTCGCGGAAACACGGTAGTCCTTAAATATAGGAACAGATTGTCAACATCACTCACATGAATAATGTGCATTAAAACTACTCCAAGATACAATTTCTTTTTTTACTTTTTTTTTGAGACAGAGTCTCACTCTGTTGCCTGGGCTAGAGTGCCGTGGCATCAGCCTAACTCACAGCAGCCTCAAACTCCTGGGATCAAGTGATCCTCCTGCCTCAGCCTCCTTGAGTAGCTGGGACTATAGGGCATGTGCCACCATGCCCAGGTAATTTTTTCTATATATTTTTAGTTGGCCAATTAATTTCTTTCTATTTAGAGTAGAGACAGGGTCTCTCTCTTGCTCAGGCTGGTTTTGAACTCCTGATCTTGAGCAATCCGCCCGCCTTGGCCTCCCAGAGTGCTAGGATTACAGGCGTGAGCCACTGTGCCTGGCCCAAGATACAATTTCTTATATGTTATATTAGGAAATAATATGTGCTTAAAGTTATTCATAGCAGTATTATTTGAAATAGCAAAAGAATGGAAACAACCCAAATGCCCAGCAATAAGAGATCTGTTGAATAAATTATGATATATCCATACAGTTAAAACTAGGCCACCATAAAAAAGAAAGAGGAAAATCTCTTCTCACTAATAGGAAGTGGTCTCCAAGATATACTGCTAAGTGAAAAAAGAACAGTGTAGAAGAGTGCATATTTTATGCCACCTTTGTGAAAGAAAAAAAGGAAAAATAACAATACGTGTGTGTTTGTTTATTTTGGCAAAATAACTGGAAGGCTAAATCAGAAGCTAATAAAAATAGTTAGCTATAGAGGGAAGAATATAGGATTGGAGGAGATAGGGATAGCAGAAAGACTTCTCTGAGTATACCTTTAAAATTATTTTAACTTTTGAACCATGTAAATATTTTATGTATTAAAAAAATAAAATTTAAGTATTACAGCTCTTTTTAGAATTTATCTAGCAGGTTTTCCAGTCAACACTGGAAGACCACCCCCTCCCGAAAAAAAAATAAAATAAAATTTAATCTTAAAGGAAAATATAGCAACCCCTAAGATCAAAACCAAACTGAAACAAATAAACCTAACTATGTATCAAACTAGATAACAAAACTACATGAAAAAAAATTATCTCCAGTAAATTCTGAACATAGTAATCTGACTATATACCTTTAGTAGGATATATTCTAAAAGGAAAAAAAGAACTGGAAAGAAATCTTAAATCTTATTCGATAGTTCTACTATTAGCAGTATAATAATATTTATTATAATATTGAAACTATTTTATGTGTAATGAATAGGTTAATATTCATTTTAAAAAGATAGGTAATATAAGAGAAAAATAGGCCGGGCGCTGTGGCTCACGCCTGTAATCCTAGCACTCTGGGAGGCCGAGGCGGGCGGATTGCTCGAGGTCAGGAGTTCGAAACCAGCCTGAGCAAGAGCGAGACCCCGTCTCTACTATAAATAGAAAGAAATTAATTGGCCAACTAATATATATAAAAAATTAGCCGGGCATGGTGGCGAATGCCTGTAGTCCCAGCTACTTGGGAGGCTGAGGCAGGAGGATTGCTTGAGCCAGGAGTTTGAGGTTGCTGTGAGCTAGGCTGAAGCCACGGCACTCACTCTAGCCTGGGCAACAAAGCGAGACTCTGTCTCAAAAAAAAAAAAAGAGAAAATATAAAGAAAACTCCCTAATGTTAAATTTGAATCATAAACAATATAACGTGAATATTTTTTAAAATGTAATTTCTAGTTTTGTCCACTGACATCCTATTTTTGGACATTGTTGTACCAGATGGTCTCTAAATATCAACCCCACTAAAATGAACAAGGGCTCCCTGGAGAAATGGCTGATTCCAACACAGTCCAGAGAATTTACAAGGTGAACCTCGTGCATACAGCAGTAGAAAACAAGGAAGCACTCAAAACCAGCAGGGAGTGGGGAGTGTCAAAAGGATACAGGAACCCCCAACTTTATGGGGTTCTCACTGGACAAACTTGGGAAATTTGAGCAGCACAAAGTATTAGGACTATAATATACTGTAAAACACAATAAATGAAAATCTATGAGCCAAATGATATTAAAAATAATTTATTTGCCACCATAATTAAAGGTGATTATAGTACCAAGTCATTACTCTAAAAACTGACAATTAAAGAGAATTAAGCCTTTATCCCCATTTTAGGATAAACTAAAATTCATTTCCAATTAATGAAGAAAAACTCTTCTTTCCAGAACAATACCAACTATTAAATGTAAAAGGAACTGAAAAATCACCATTTTATAATCCCTAACGAAATAATTCATTCAAGGAAGGAATAACAATCTGTGCTAAAACCATTATGTGAAAGGTTGTTAGGGAAGAGGATAATTTGCACAGTGCCTAAGTATCATCCCACAGATTACCTGCTAATTGCAAAAAGGAAAACATATCTTTACACTGGAAAGATCTGGTGGTCACTATCTCAACCAAGTGACCAAACATGGCTTCACTAGCTTTGGTGCAACCTATAGCCTGGCTAACTGAAGTGAGACCTATGACTGGAGGGGACAAAAGTAAGACTTGTTTGAGTATATCCTGCTCAATAGTTTCAAATTTTGAGTCAAGTATGTTTTACATATTCAAAAAATAAAATTATAAAAAAAAGAACCCCTAAAATTAAAAACAAATGGTAAGAAATGTCACCGAAACACAGTATCATCTATGAAATACTCTTCCTAAAAACTTTTAGCCCGAATCTAGTCAAACCTTTAGAACTTCTAATTTATAGGAAATATAAGAGATAGAAAACACATTGAACAACACTGAAAGGAAACAAACAAATCAGGTAACTGGCCTGGTCTCTTAAAAAAGTCAACGACATAGAAGGGAAAAATAGCAGAGACTAAAATAGACTAAAGAGACTAAAGAGATATAATAACTAAGTACAACTGGATCCTAGTTTGAAAAATACAACAGCTATAAAATATATTTTTAGACAATTAAGAACATTTAAATATGGACTGGATATTGGATGCTATTAAGGGAATTGTTCATTTTTCTTAGTAAATGCATGCTAAAGTTCTTAGAGATGAAAGGTCATGATTCATTCTTCCAAATAAGTAAAATTTAAAATATATATGCTAAATAAACACATGGAAAGAAAATATGGCCAAACATTAGTAACTGTTGACACTGGGGGTAAACCAATGTTCATTATACTAGTCTTTCAATTTATCTGTTTAATACTTTCAAAATAAGAAGTTGGGGGGAAAAAAAGTCCAATCCTTCATAAGGCTACATGCTAAGAGGGGGAACAAGAGCTTACCAAACATTCTTTGAAAAAGGACATACAGTGGACACTCAATCTTTAGTTAAAATTAAGGGAAAAGTACAGTGAAGAAGTCAGAGTACTCAGATGGCATCATAACAAACAAAATTTTGGGGAAGTTGTGAGAGGCTCTGCAGGCTTCACTCACCATATGTCACCCCCTCTGTTGGCTGCTGCCTTCCATTGTTCAGATTTTCAGGCAAATTTTTCAAAACTGAAATGAGCTATAGAAAAAAAAGAGACAGTGATATATTCAAGAGGAACAGAAGAACAAAAGCAGAAACATTACAACCATGAAATGACCTAAAACTTTAAAAGAGTGTGTAGCAAGGTAAGGTAGCAAACTGGCTTAAGCTGTGAGGACATATGTCCACTCGGTGGTCTCTCAGTAGAGATTCTACTCTCTGCAGAGTACGGGTTGTTGATTCACTTCCAGAGAATGCTGAGCTTTGCCTGGCTGTGCAAGCTTTTAGCATCAGGACAGCCTGTGCTCAGCTATCCACTCTCACCTCCCAGGCAGGAAAGCAGTGGAGTCATACACTCTGAGTTCAAATCCCAGTTCCACCACCTGCTAGCTGTTTCACTGTGGAAAAATTATTTGTCTGTGGCCTTCAAGGTTGTCATTATCTGTGAAACGACTGACAGCTACAACTACCTCAAAGGTTTGGTGGGAGGATTAAAAAAAATCCACTGAGTATCTAGAAGAGTCTGGTACATAAGCCAATGCTGGCAGCCACTATTATGAGATCATTTCAGAGGTGAGTGCCTAAAATAGAAAATACCATAAATATAGTTGGGAAAAAATTTCCTCTGTATAAAATTGACTAGTTCATATGAAAAACATGAATTTAGTCATTAAACATTTATCTAACTTCTCCTGCATACAGATTCAATGAGCTCAACGAGCTATACAAAGCCACAGAGAGGAAAGATCATCTATAGGTAGGGTGATCAGCAAAATTCCAGTGCATACATTAATAGATGCAAATAATGGGAACCCAGGCACAGAAGTGGGAGGAAAGCTAAGAGTCACTTTGGAAGTTGCTGTTAGTTCAGTGTGACAGAAGTACTAGGTATATATATGAGAGTAAAGAGAGTGAAATTAGGAAGAATAGTCTAAAGGCCTCACTGTGAAATGTAGTGTACCATATAAGATCACTTGTTTTATTTGAAAGACTTTATTAAGTACGCACTCTGTATAAATCCTCAAAGATCTATATGAGATCAGAAATGCCAGAAATTTTTAGAAAGCCAGAGATAGAAACCCCCTTTTTTTTTACAGAAGCTTAAAATTACATATCATAAAATTGTTCTTTTCATCATAATCACTTAGGAATTCTACTAAATCAATCAAAAGCAGTAGGATATTGGAGAAGTATACCATGTTAGCACCCAGTCTTGACAACACTGCTTCTAATTCCTTTGCGGTGCTCTTGGGTGGCACAGGAATGGTTTCTTGTTTGAGAACTGGGCCTATGTCAAATCTAGCAAAAAATCAAAACCAAACAGTAACATGATTACTATTTTTTAAGATCAATGTTTGTCTACATACCAAAAAGATAATTTATTGCTGGTACTAATTTGGCTGCTAGCCATTAGCAAGGGAGATATGTCAGTTTGAAATGGGAAAGGAGGCCAGCCCCATCTACATAGCAAGACCCTGTCTCTTAAAAAAAAAAAAGTATACAGTTGCATATCAGGAATTTCACTGCAATAACAAATAATTATAACATTAGTAATAAATAGTATGAAAAATCTCTATTGGCGCGGCGTGGTGGCTCACGCTGTAATCCTAGCACTTTGGAGGCGAGCGGGCGGATTGCTCAGTCAGGAGTTCGAAACCAGCCTGAGCGAGACCGTCTCTTCAAAATAGAAATAAATTAATTGACCAACTAAAATATATATACAAAAATTAGCCGGGCATGGTGGCGAATGCCTGTAGTCCCAGCTACTCGGGAGGCTGAGGCAGGAGGATCGCTTGAGCCAGGAGTTTGAGGTTGCTGTGAGCTAGGCTGACGCACGGCACTCACTCTAGCCTGGGCAACAAAGTGAGACTCTGTCTCAAAAAAAAAAAAAAAAAAAAAAAAAAAAAAATCTCTATTGGCATATAAAAAGCAGAAGGCAAAGAGCTTATTTTCCAATGAAGCACTATTGGGAAATTTATAATTATTTCTTTCTATATTCTTCTTCAAAGGATAAGAGTTTTGCCTGGATTATCATCATTGGTGATTACAAATAAATGCAAGTATATTTGCATTCCCACAAGTCTTAACATTTTATATCAAGCTCTGTAAACACTGGCTATGGGCTTTTTTTTTTTTGAGACAGAGTCTTCCTCAGTTGCCCGGGCTAGAGTGAGTGCCGTGGCGTCAGCCTAGCTCAAAGCAACCTCAAACTCCTGGACTCAAGCAATCCTGCTGCTCAGCCTCCCTAGTAGCTGGGACTACAGGCATGCGCCACCATACTCGGCTAATTTATATATATTTTAGTTGCCCAGCTAATTTCCTTCTATTTTTACTAGAGACAGGGTCTTGCTCTTGCTCAGGCTGGTCTGGAACTCCTGAGCTCAATCTGCCTGCCTCAGCCTCCCAGAGTGCTAGGATTACAGGAGTGAGCCACCATGCCCAGCAGGCCATGGGCTTTCATTAGAAATATGCTTTAGGTGGGGTGTGGTGGCTCACACCTGTAATCCTAGCACTCTGGGAGGCCAAGGCGGGCGGATTGCTTGAGGTCAGCAGTTCCAAACTAGCCAGAGCAAGAGCGAGAACCCGTCTCTACTATAAATAGAAAGAAATTAATTGGCCAACTAATATATATAGAAAAAAAAAATTAGCCGGGCATGGTGGCACATGCCTGTAGTCCCAACTACTCGGGAGGCTGAGGCAGGAGGATTGCCTGAGCCCAGGAGTTTGAGGTTGCCGTCAGCTAGGCTGATGCCACGGCACTCTAGCCTGGGCAACAAAGCGAGACTCTTGTCTCAAAAAAAAAAAAAACAAGGCCGGGCGTGGTGGCTCACGCCTGTAATCCTAGCACTTTGGGAGGCTGAGGCAGGCGGATTGCTCAAGGTCAGGAGTTCGAAACCAGCCTGAGCGAGACCCCGTCTCTACCAAAAATAGAAATAAATTAATTGACCAACTAAAAATATATATACAAAAAATCAGCCGGGCATGGTGGTGCATGCCTGTAGTCCCAGCTACTCGGGAGGCTGAGGCAGTAGGATAGCTGAGCCCCGGAGATTGAGGTTGCTGTGAGCCAGGCTGACGCCACGGCACTCACTCTAGCCTGGGCAACAAAGCAACAAAGTGAGACTCTGTCTCAAAAAAAAAAACAAAAAAAAAAGAAAAAACCCAGAAATATGCTTTATTTATTTAAAACTTTTAACTTTGTCCTTCTGTTAATTCTATTTCTAACCTATGAGCTTTGATAAAGTATTTATTATGAAAAATTACAAACATTCACAAAAACAGAGTGAATAGTCCAATGAACCATTGTATACATGTCACCCAGATTTTAGAATTATCAAAGTTTTGGCTGGATGTGGTGGCTCACGCCTGTAATCCTAGCACTCTGGGAGGCCCAGGTGGGCAGATCGCTCAAGGTCAGAAGTTCGAAACCAGCCTGAGCAAGAGTGAGACCCTGTCTCTACTAAAAATAGAAACAAATTAATTGACCAACTAAAAAGATATAGAAAAAGTTAGCCAGGCATGGTGGCACATGCCTGTAGTCCCAGCTACTCGGGAGGCTGAGGCAGTAGGATGACTTGAGCCCAGGAGTTTGAGGTTGTTATGAGCTAGGCTGATGCCATGACACTCTACCCCTGGCAACAGAGGGAGACTCTTGTCTCAAAAAAAAACAAAGTAAAGATGTAGAATTATCAAAGTTTTGTTATTCTTGTTTCATCTACTCCCTCCCTTTTTTCCTGAAGTTAAAGCAAATCCCAGATACCATGTTGTTCTTGTGCATCTGTGAATTATTCTTTTCTATACGGAAATTAGTTGGTAATAGACAGAGGCTTAATAAACCCATCAAGTAATTTTAAATACTTGTTTCTAGATTGTGGGTATGATAGAAAAAAAATAAATGTTTAAGACAATTATATTATACATTGATATACAATATATTCTTACTTTAGGTTCCAAAAGTTTTTTGACCATAGCTTAGGAACTAAGGCCAAGATTCAAAACGACTAACATACAAAAATCCATATCTTATTTATATTTATATAATGTCTTTTATGGAAATCTAGGTGCCAATAATATAATTTTTTTCAATTAACAAGTTAAAAATTTCATAGGGACTTTAAAGAGACAATGCATAAATACCAAAAGACATATGATTCATATTAAAAACCAGAAAAGGCAGAAAGAATATAAAAGCAAAGGAAGCACTCTGGAGTCATAGAAATTAGTGAGCACCATCCATGTATCTTCCCCGCCCCCAAAACAGAATCCATGTATCTTCCCCGCCCCCAAAACAGACTGATATCAACATTTAAAATCACAAAAATCTGAAGCAAGGAAAATCTGTTCTACCTTTTAGGTCTAATTTGCATAATTGTTACTCCAGTAACCACGTCTCCATGGAGCACTGTGTGGATTATAGGGGCTGGACCACGCCACCTCGGAAGGCAACTGGGATGGACATTCAATATGCCACTGAATTAGAAAATGCATAAATTAGTATGGCAGCAGGCTTTTCCATTTAGTTCCTACTACCTAAACTATTATGTTACTTTTCATCATTAAACTTGGCCAGAAATTGTGACACTTAAATCTAGTCACTTAAAAGGAAGTTGTCAAATGTAAATTCATAAGAAACCAATGAAATGTAATTAAAAACAGAGACAGAACAACTATTAATTATTCCAAAGATATACTATAACAGGTCATGATGTTTAGGAGTTTTTAAGTATTAATAAAAATGTATTTATTATTATATGAGAACCACTCAAACCTCTATTATACATCTCATAAACAGTTTGAATTATATTTATAGTTCTCACATAATTACCCTCACTTAGTTTACATACAAAATACCTAAAATAAGCCTACTGAATCCCTATCAAACAGTCACCTTTCCTGTTTCTCCCAATATACCCTATCATCCACTGATGAGAAATTTAAATATTTGACTCATCTGTAAAGTATTTAAATATATATTTAAATGAGGGTGGATGAAAGCTCATAGAGGGTGATAAGGAGTTAAATCCATTTTGACAATTCATGCCACAAATAAAACATTCTTAAAAATACTAAAGAAAACATAATTAGAGTTCAAATTATTACATTTAAGATACCAGGTCCATCAGTAAAGACCAAGGTTTCTATATTGTATTTCCTTATAGATAAAACTTACTAGGGAAATTTAAGAATAAGAGCCTCACTCAAAAGACGGCCAAATGAAGCCACTACTCCAACATCAAATTCTCCAGATCCCACATCTGGCCACTCGTACACGGGGAGCTGACACTGCACAGCATATTGCTTCACTGACAGTCCTTTTGGTGATGGGGAAGGCACTGTGACCACCTCCAATCTGTCGATTAACTCTTCTTCTTTGTTTTCCCTAAGTTAACAACATTGGAAAAAAAAATGTGTCAGGGTTAGGGTGATTAACTCAAAGCTAAACTACTTCACACATCACTAAGGTATTTTTATGGTTAAACTTGTAAAGCATTTAGGGCTAAATGATTAAAACTAGCAAGAGACTTTTTTTTAAATTTAATTTTAGTTATTTTAACACATTGACTGCCACACTAGAAAAAATTTTTTTCCTTGGGGCCACAGTGTTTTATTATAAAAATAGAATAAAATCTTCAAAACCAAAAAGGTTCCTAGTTTAATGGAAAATTTGTTATTTTTTATTGTTTTCTGTGGTGTGTGAGTTATATGGAACTTGAAGAAGTTCTCGTGGCTCCCAAGGTGAGGAGACATGTGAGTAACATATGCTTCAGGAGGCCCTGGGCTCAAAACTAGCATGAGTTAAATACAACTCACATGGCAGTTAATGTGTTAAATTTAAAGAGCCACATGTAGCTCATGGCTACTGTTTGGACAGCATCATTCTAGAGATGCCCTGCGTATACAGAAACATATACAGTAAAGATATTTTACACAATTGGGATATTACCACATACTGTTCTGCATTTTGTTTTTTTCCTCTTAACAATGATGTATGTACTATTATGTGAGTCCTTTTAAAAAATGGGTTAAATATACATATGCTTGTATATGCACTTAACATTTCTAGAAGAAACTGAAGACAGTGGCTGTCTCTGGGCAGAAGAACTGGGAAACAGATGGAAGGAAATGACTTTTCACTGTATATTGTCTGAATCTGCAGAATTTTGTACCATAACCGTGTGTCATTCAAACAACACTTTTTAAAAAAACAAACAAAAATATATACCATGGGCATCGTTCCATGGCACTACATGTAGCACTGCCTCATTCTTTTTATCTGCTGCATAGTATCCCAGTGCCCAGGGGCAGTACATTTATTTATTAACAGGTATTGCGTGCATATGTTGAGGAATTTCAAAAAAAGGGAGTATGTACCAGGGCAGTAAAAAGAAAGTATAGGAGTAATGGAGCTGCTAAGTGAAGCATCATCAGAAGAGTCGGGGTACACACAGTGAGAGATGCAAGTGGCAAGATGGGAAATATCAGCATGTGGAGTGTGCGCAAAGGGAACGTGGAGTGAAGGGTGTTTCCTGCCAGGTGTGTGTACAGAAGGGTGTGTGTAGGAAGGAATAAGGTATAGGGGATTGATGGAAGATTCAACATATGAGGGGCTGCTGTGAAATATTTGCAGGGAAGAGGAGATGGAGATGACAAATAATGAATGTGTTGTGGGGGCAGTGCGTCAGGAAAAAACAGAATGGGGAAATAAAAAACCTAAGTTGGGGAAAAGAGGCAGAGGAGTACATAAGGAATTGCCACCACATACCACAGACTTTCAGGGCAGGCTGGATTTCAATCAATTTCTTTCCCCAGTAAACAACACTTGTGAAATTTTATAAATACTAAATGTATACCTAAGAGTTCTGATTTTAAGTTTATTCTTCTGAAAACAGTTCGGTTTTGGATTACGTCCTCATCTCAGCACCCGCAAAACTGGGCCCTGCCTTATACCAGGAGAGCAAGGGGAGCTAAGGAGTGCGACATGGGTGTGCACAAGGGTCATGCGCCTGGTAAGAACACGCTACATGATTGGAGGGTACACGTTAGAAGGGTGGGAGGCCGCAGGAGGGAGCGGAAAGAGGCGAACTTTGAAGTCAGACCCGGTTTTAGTCCCAGCCAGCTCAGCTGATGACCGTGGGCCATCGCATAACCTCTCTGAGCCCTGGCTTCCTCACAAGCAAAACCCGGAGGTGGTGGAACCGGACCCAGGCGATGTAGGTAGGCAAAGCGCCCGGCACCGGCTCGGTGCGGGGGCCCCGGGGCGCTCGGAGAGCCGATAGGCAGGCGCAGTGGAGGGCGCAGGCTGGACAGATGGGCGTCCCAAGGCGGACCGGCGGGTGCGGCGCACCTTCGGAGACGCAGAGATCCGGGCCCACACCGCTCCAGCGCCGCTGCTTTCCGCGACGAGGAGTCCAAAACCCTCGCGGGCGGCGGCATCGGCGCCTTCAGCTGCTGGGCCCCTCAAGCCCCGGCCCCAGTACCTGGCGACATGCAGCGCCCGCAGCGCCTCGCGGGCGAACCGGTCCGTGCCGAAGAAGAGCACCCGCCAGGGCGGCTTCTCGCGGACTCGGGCGTCCCGGTCGTCCTTCCCATCGGCAGACCCGCCGAGCCCGGCCAGCGCTCGCCTCTGGGGGCTCGGCCTTCGGTCCACCGCGCCACCGACCAGCCGGGGCCCCCAGCAGCGCCGCACCAGCACCCTCATCACCGCAGCGGCCGGCGACCCACTTTGCGCAGGCGCGCCGGGGCGGACGTGAGGCCGCGGGCAGAGGAGTGCGGGGCCGGGACGGAACATGATAGGCGGGGCTCGCAAGCGACTGGGCGGGGCCTGCCTGACTGGAGGGACCTGTCTGTGCTGGGGTCGAAGGTCGAATTTGTAGGTTCCACGTCCCGAGATTTTTGTCTGGTTTATTTGCACTGTTTAGCCAACCACCAAAGAACTCTTTGGGGAACAAATGAAACTTCAATTTATGTAGTGCAGTGTCATCTTCTCAGCTGTTATTACTGAGTACTTGCTATGTGCCACTCTTCGGCTAAGCATTTGATATAAGTTAGTTCAGTTACTCCACACATCAACCATATGAGGTGGATATTACTTCAGCCACATTACTAAAGAGAACCTGAGGCTCAGTGACGCTAAGGGCGTACGTGCGTAAGGTCCACACAGCTAGTAAATGGCAGAGTAGGTTTGGGACTCCTGTCCATGTACTTCTGAGACCTGCAATCCTAACCATTTGGCTTTCGCAGCAATCCTGTGTATTAAGCACCTGAGGAAACTGAGGCTCAGTTACTTGCCTGTAGTCGCCTTCCTGAATCGAAGTCTCCATTCTTTCCCCTACCCTGTGGGTTCCCTCACACACAGGGATACCCCAGGGGGGATTCCTAGGGAAAATGGTCGGGGAAGCTTCTCCCCAAAAGGCCTCTGAGGACCATTAGTGCTTAGATCTAAGTTATGAGCTATAGTTATGAGCTCTGCACATCCCTGCCTCTGTGCCTTTGCTCATGCTGTCCTTCCTAGACTGCCCTCCCACATCTCTTCCTCTCTGAATGGTATCCATTCTTCAATGCCAAGTTCGGACATCTTCCCTGAAGCTTTGAGCTCTTGCCTCCTTGGACTTAAAGTCTTTCTTCGTGTGCCCAGTTAATACCCTGAAGGAATCTCCACTTCTCACATGGTTTGGTATTACTGAGGAAGGTTGTCTAATGTATGCATGGGCATTGATAAATTCACCCCTGCTGAATAGGGAAGAGAGGCAAGGAGAAAGGGATTCCAGTGTTTCTGCACATCTGATCACATATGAGGTGAGTGAGAGGGACCCCCAAATCCTTTATTCCTTTAATCAAGTTCTGTTCCTGTTTCCTCTCTTAGGAAAGGCAGAATGTGATTCTAATATTCAAAGAATGGTCTTTTCCCATTCAAAGTGACCTACAAATACAACCCAAATAGTCATTTGGATTCTCACTTAGATTTGGCTGCTGTCTCAAGTGTGACCCTTTGTATTTGTGTTTATGTTATTTCTTCCCTTGTCAAATTTATGCTCCTTGAGTTAGAGAGACTGCCTTGGGCTATATTTAATTTTCAGCAGCTCAAGTTCCAACAAGTAGCCCTGCCACCTAGAGCTGCCTTGAATCACTCACAGCGTCCTCTGCCAACCACACAGCGGCTGCTCTGTCTGAAAGGCTGGCAGCAATCTGTTTTCTCTCTTCCACCGGGCTGCCTCCTACCACTGACGTCCAACTTTCTTTTTTTTTTGAGACAAAGTCTCACTTTGTTGCCCAGGCTAGAGTGAGTGCCATGGCGTCAGCCTAGCTCACAGCAACCTCAATCTCCTGGCTCAAGTGATCCTCCTGCCTCAGCCTCCCAAGTAGCTGGGACTACAGGCATGCACCACCATGCCTGGCTAATTTTTTGTATATATATTTTTTAGTTGGTCAATTAATTTCTTTCTATTTTTAGTAGAGATGGGGTCTTGCTCAGGCTGGTTTCGAACTTCTGACTTCAAGCAATCCGCCCGCCTTGGCCTCCCAGAGTGCTAGGATTACAGGCATGAGCCACCACGCCCAGCCTGACGTCTAACTTTCTAGTTAGCAAACACAAACTTCTTTTTAAAAACCTTCCCAGGATGGCCCCGCCCCTCTGGCGATGCCTTGGGTCTCTCACCTTCTGGTCACCTCCTTGAGGCGGGGCGACGCCCAGTAAGTGCACCGGGCTGGGGGGCTCTCTGAGGTCTGCCCGCAGGGTTGGGGGTCGTGGCAGAGGGCTCGGAGCCACCCAGCCGGACTTCAGAGGTCAGGGGGCACGGAGCTCTGAGTTCAAGTGGTCAGGTCCTGCAGGGAGCGATGGAGTGACCACTAGAGCCCTGCCCACAGTTTATGAATATGCTCTAAGTTTCCCATCAAACCAAAGTATTCAAACAACTTAAAAGGGACTAGGCTAATCCTTCTACTCAACTAGATCCAACTAGATCCTTCACTGGAGGATTTATCATAGGGATACTCAGAGAACAACAATGGGACGTGAATGTCAAAGAAATTCCAAAACTGGTGCCTTAATAGGGCCACCTGGAACACACTGGCTCCAGAATAGCCTTTCACAGCAGGTGGAAAACTTGTCAAAATTTAAAAGAGATGAAATGATGCACAGAACATCTCCGAAAGGCCACATGAGAAACTGGTAAAAGTATCTATCTTTGAGGAGAACTGGATGACTAGAGGATGGAAGTTAGAGGCAAACTGTAGTGTGTGGGTTTGCACCTGCACATGTACGTGTCTATATATAATTTTGCATGGTTTGACTTTTTTTAGTGCTATGTTTATGTATTACCTAATTAAAAGAGATGATTATTCATTCATAAATAAATAAAAACCTTCCCAGGATGCTGAAATGAAAATAGTCCTGAAACTCTTAGTAGTGAGTTGGGGTATGGGGAGTTCCACTTCCAAGCCCGGATAAATCCACCACTGGCACGAACATAAAGCACACAGGGAAGATGAGGACTCCAGCCCCAAATGGCAAGGAGTTTTACAGAATAAGTTAAGATATCCAGAAAGCACATCCAAGGGAATTGGAACCTAGACAATGCTAACTGAGGTGGTGCTCCAGTTTCCAGAATTTTCTCTTCCACAATGAACAGAGTTTCTGTACCTGCTGAGTCAGTGAAATTACTCCAGGTTCTGAGCCTGAGTAACAGAACTATAGCAGTGTCATTGACATAGAGAAAGAACCTGCTTGGTGGTAAATATGCCACACTTCACCTTTGTATGCTCTGAAGCTGAAGTGATGTTTGGCAGAAAGCTGGAATGTGAGATTGGCCTCCATGGCTGGGGTTGGGTGGGGTGGGAGAGCCAACCTGGGAGTGGGAGGAGGCAGGAAGCTTCTCCTCCCCCTGTTCCCATAATCCCACAGAGGGGTGAGGCTATCTGCCACAGATTAAATGTGTGAATGAGTGTGTGTGTGTGTGTGTGTGTGTGTGTGTAATAAGCACTTTTCTGTTAAGAGTCAAAAGCGAGGAATATGCAGAGCCATGGGAGAGGTACAACAGGGGCATGAGGAGGAAGATGATCAGAGCACCGGATGGTAAGGTGGCCGATGCCACGTGTGGCCAGGGGAAGGTCTGCTACACACACGTACGCGCCCAGTGCCAGGGGAAGCAACTGAACTCAGGGGTGCAGCCCACTGAAGCCTTTTGGGATCAGTTCCCTAGTCAGCCACTCCATAGACTGCTGTCTCCTGCCTGTGGTTGCACCGGAAGTCTGCGAGGAGGTGCTGCCCGCCATTGAGTGTAGCGGACAAGTCACGTGCTCTAGCACCTCTGACTCTGCTTGTGCTCTGTGCTATTACTGTCCTTGTGGTCTCAGTAGATGTCACTCCCTAATCTGTTTGTTATGGAAACCTCCAGGGGGTTTCGGCCTAGGTCCAGACACTCATTGCACAAAGATCCAATTATTGGGAAGAGGATTGCCAAGGAAGAAAGAAATCTTTCAATAGAAAGGCATCTTGTTGGGAGAATGGGAGAAGCAGCCTCAAATTCATCTGCCTGACTAAAGGACATCCTGGGCTTTTTAAGGACAGGCCAATCTGCCCTGGGGCAGATTGTGGTGCAATTAACAAGGCGCTAAGTGCCTTGGAGGCAGGATGTGGCATCTTGCAGAAAATCCACCAAGTCAGCAAAACGACTCAAAAGGTCAAGAAGTTAGGTAAGGGAGAGGATGATAAAAAATATATATAGGAGTCATTGAAATTTGTTCATAGAGCCAGTTAGATGTCCAGCTGCTCTGGAAATCAGGGCTAGGGGTATAAGGCCGTATGTGGCAGGTTATATGACTTCTAAGGGACATAAGGAGCCCCAGGGAGAGAAGCCACCGTGTAGGAGAAGCAGCCTAAGGAAATGGAATTTTTCCTGTTGCTGTTGCAGGCCAACCTAGTAAACCCAGGGGAATATCTCAAAATAGACTTAAAGAGATCAAATCTTAAAATATTTAGTTTGTTCCCCAACCCTGACCCCAACCCCCAGGCAAAAATGCAGTGCAATGTTAACAAAGCTGTGTGTTGTCAACAAACGGAAAGAATAGTTAATAAAATAGCTAAAGCTGCTGTTATTTCTTGTTCTGAGACACCAGTGTTCTTATCTGAAACACTTCTTGATGTGGTTCTTCTTTGAAATCAGGTCCCCACATATGGAGTGATAAAATAGATATCCTTTTATACATAAACCATCTTTGCTACTTCCTAGACAGCCACTAGATAGCACCATAGCTTTGTTCTCTCACCTTTTGCCCTCACCTGGCATTCACAAAGGAGAGGGATGCTAGTAATGACTGCGTGTGATTGAGGTGCTCCATAGTTTTTCATTAGCCACTCAATAGTAAGCTTCCTTATTCATCAGGTTCACAATATGGGGAAAGCTGTCGAATCAAAAAGAGAACCTTAGGCTAGCTTAAATTAGTTTTGTATAGGTAAAGTGCTACTGTGAATCTATTATCATATATCCTACTCATGTGTAAGATCTGTCAATAAAATTACTTCTAAGATTTTTCCTAGAATTATAATACCTTTGTTAGTTGGAGGTGATTGTGCCATCCGCCTTACATTTTACAAGGCAGATTGTAATACTGTCTTGGATCTGTCAAAACTGTCCCAGTCTATAATACATCCTTCTCCCAGTGGATAATGATCAGCTAAGTGTGTATGTAAGATCTATGGAGAGGCTCATTTGCTTATGTCCTACTGTGTTTCCCCAAAAATAAGACCTACCCATAAAATAAGCCCTAGCAGGATTTCTAAGCATTTGCACAATATAAGCCCTACCCCGAAAATAAGACCTAGTGATGGGTGTGGCTACGCAGCGAATCTGCACAACCCATGCATTTCCTTGCGGAGCAGTAATGAAGATGAGCAGCCCTTCTCATCTGCCCCATGAGAGCTCTATTGCTCGACACGAGAGATTGGGCCCAGTGGTTCTAAAGGAAATAGAGTCGCAAGAAATTCAGGATGGAATTCGGGGTTTGGAGAGTTATGATGATGTTCCAGAAGAAGACAACTTAACTATGTTTGAATAAATGTAGATTGTTGTACAGTACTTAAAAAAAAAATAACACATCGCCTGAAAATAAGCCCTAGGGTGTCTTCTTGAGGAAAAATAAATATAAGACCCTGTTTTATTTTTGGGGAAACACGTGGGGAATTCCAGCCACCTCCACGCTGATATAGTGGACTCTGTAATAAATTAAAACAGAGCTCCCCAGTCTTGGCGTCAACAGGTGGTTTCTGCACTCTCCTCACTCTTGCCCAAAGGCCCTTGTATATAAATCAGAGATTGTGGCTTCTGGAAAAAATATCAGAAGAAAACTTTATAGCCTTGGTGGTAAGGACTATATCAGGTACTCTTTTCTAAGAAAAAAAAACCAGCTTTATGGACATATATAATTCTTATACTATGTGATTCACCCATTTAAAGTATACAAGTCAATGGCTTTTAGTACAATCACAGGGCTGTGCATCAATCACCACAATTAATTTTAGAACATGTGCATTACTCCCCAAACAAATCCCATTCCCTTTAGCCACCCCCTCCTAAGCCCCATTCCACCTAGCCCCAGGCAACCACTAATTTACTTTCTGTCTCTAATCTACAATTACATTTGCCTATTCTGGACATTTCATATAAATAGAATCATACTATATGTGGTCTTTTGTGACTGGCTTCTTTGATTTATATAATAGGTTTTTGTTGTTGTTGTTAGAGACAGGGCCTTGCTCCGCCACCCAGGCTGGAGTGCCATGGCGTGATCGTAGCTCACTGCAGCTTCAACTTCCTGGGCTCCAGTGATCCTCTCAATCCTCTTGCTTCAGCCTCCCAAGTAGCTAAAATTACAGGTGTGTGCCACCACACCCCGCTATTTTTTTTTATTATTTTGTAGAGCCAGAGGTCTCACTATGGTGCCCAGGCTGGGCTCAGTCTCCTGGCCTCATGTGATCCTGCTGCCTCAGCTGATCCAAAGTGCTGAGATTACAGGCATGAGCCACTATGCCCCATCTCTAATTACCTTTTAATCAGACATTCTTAATTTTTAAAAACCTCATTTAACGATGATTAACTGTTCACTGAAAGTGAGTTTCTACACTGAAATTACTGTCAACTCTTTCCCCTTACAGCATTGTTATAATAAAACTTTGTATAATAGTCATAACTATCTGACTCGAGATGGGAGGGGAGGCACGGGCAA